TAGATATATATAGATATATATATACAGTATATTTATATATATATATATCTATATATATATATCTACATAGATATATATATAAAATCATATACACAGTTTATGATTATAATACCAGCAGGTACAGCTTGTTAATAAAGCAGACACTCACCACATATGGTAAAGCAACCTCTATTGTAAGTGAATTTTACATTTTATGTATTTTCATTTTTTTTTAAATCTTACATTGTCCCTTCAGATAAAATCTGACATTCCCCAGAACCAGCAGCTGTTCCATAACTTACAGACCAACAAATTAATGTTAGGTCTTCTGGCACCGCAGCACTTGAAAGCGTATTATTATTTTTTGGATGCAAGCGTTTTCCTGCATGCGGTCCACAGCATGAAAACCATTAAGCGGAGTGACGGCTCAGCTGGTTAGGTGCTTAGTCTGGTCCAGGGGCAGCGGCCTGTGAAATGCGCAACTGTAACTCAAACTCTGGCGTTGGGGGTCACTATTAGATGGCTGGAGATGGCTCTCAAAGGCTTTCTGTATACAGCTGTATATACAGTTCATGGCGGCCTAGGTGCATCACAATGGGGAGACCCTTTCATACTGGCTCCACTGTTATTTGTTATTGGTTATGTTCCATGAGCGCTATGGGACAATCTATAAAGATGAACTCCAGACACATTATACTGTACTGAAAATGTAAACTGTGTGTGCCAATGGATTTGAAATACTTTTCAGCCAGTCTTGTGATCTGGTCCTGCCTTCCCTGTGACCTCCCTGGAGGCTACACTTCAGCTGTGTAATGCAGCCTGGTCTAGGACCTGCCACCTCAACTGGGATTGGACAGTGAAGGAGGAGCAGCACACTGATATGGTCATCACTCTGCTTTCCCCTCCTATCAAGAAGCTTACACAGTGCAGTGCAGTGGAGCCTACCTTGCATGTTACAGCCACTGGTTGCAGAAGACCTGCTCTCTTCAGCTTCTACTATAAATAATTGGAAGCTGCAGTCCTAATGTTGTGTATAGTATTGAGGCCACTGTGCGGCAACACAACACCTGTTACATCCGTCGTTTAGGGGCATTTTACTAAAGTGTGTGAATCTGGCATTATGATTGCGCCTCTCCTTCTCCCGGTCTGAGTGCTGCTGCTTTTAGTAAATGGCGGACAGTTAAACCACTTGAAGGTTTCTTTGAGATCTATTAGAGATATCTCTGCACTGAGTTTTTGGTTTGGATAGATCAGTGTTTCTCAAACTTTTTCAGTATTGGCAACCTTTAATATTATGCAAAATCCTAAGGCACCCCATTCTAAAATGTAATGGATTTAAATGGGGACCCCCATGGAAAAACTCGTGAAAAAAAGTTGTGTCAGCCCTTCGAATCAAAGTACGCCCTTCAAATCAGGCGCCCCTCTACATCAGAGTCCTCCTTTCACATGAGCGTCCCTC